CTCCAAAGAAATTCCCTCTTTTCTCTCCAAAGAAATTCCCTTGCCGAAGAAATTCCCTCTTTTCTCTCCAAAGAAATTCCCCTTTCCCGGCCGCTTTTTCCTTTCCCGTCTCCCCCATCCCTAATTCTGCCGGCTCGGTGCCGCCTCTCCAGGAAATCTCTTCCCAAACTCAGAGCCGGGAACGGGGAGCGTTTTTGGGGTTTTGCAGATCCTCTCCCGCCCCTTTTCCCGTCCTTTTCCCGGTTCCCATCCCGCGATTTCCCGGTCCCGCTAGAGGGCAACAGAAAACCGGGAGAGAAGCGCCGGGAAGGGCCTGGCAGCGCCGCCGGAGCTCCTTTGGGTTCGCATTTCGCATCAACGACACCCAAAAAACGCCTCAGGTGCTGCCCGGGATCGCGGGAGCTTCTCCCGATCCCAAAAAATCGCGATCCCGGGGGGATCTGGAGCGGTTTTGGGGGAGATGGAGCGGCTGTGATCAATCGCTGCAATCTGCTCCATTTTTAGCGGTTTTGCTTCCCGGAGCTGCTCGGGGACACGGAGGGTACGGGAGGGATGTGCAGAGGGAATAAAGGGATGTGAAGGAGAGGGATTTGGCCTCAGAGAGGGAAAATCGCGGGTTTGATCCCAGTCCTGCCCGGGGGAAGTTAATTCCTGGTGTTTCAGCTTCTCCTGCGGGAAAACTGCAGCTTTTCATGGGATAAAGCCCATCCCGAATCCCAAATCCCGAATCCCAAATCTCAAATCCCAAATCCCGAATCCCAAATCCCAAATCTCAGATCCCGAATCCCAAATCCCGAATCCCAAATCCCAAATCTCAAATCCCAAAACCTGAACTCCTAAGCCCGTATCTCGAATCCCGAATCCCAAATCTCAAATCGCAAATCCTGAATCCCAAATCTCAAATCGCAAATCCTGAATCCCAAATCCCAAATCCCGAATCCCAGATTCCGAATCCCAGATCCCGAATCCCAAATCCCAAATCGCAAATCCCGAATCTCAAATCCCAAATCTCAAATCCCAAACCCCAAATCCCAAACCAGCAGCCTCTGGTTCCTTTTTGAGGGCCATTCGTGTTATTCCTTTATGGATAAACTGGAAACCAGGATAAGAAAAATTTGCCTTTTAGAATGATTTGGAAATCCATC